TACTTTTTAAATAACTTTCAATACATTCAAAATCTGTGGTTTTATTAAACTCAATGTAACAAATAATAATAGGTATTCTCAAAAATATTTAAAAATAAAATCGAGATGGGACTCTTGTATAATTTAGTGACTATTCGCCTATGGTTAGTGCACTGCTGTATGTCCCTGGGTTTTCTACATTAGAACAATACTGCTTCTCCACTCTAGCAGTATTTTTTACATCTCACAAGATTATATTTATTAAAAAACCAAGGAATTGTTTTGGGCCTATTGCTGTGTCCTTTTCCAACATTCCCAAAGTTTTTTTTTACTTTCTGCTGATTGGATCTGCGATAGCGACAACTCCATTTGTTGTTCCACTAGTTTTTTATCAAATTTTTAAAATAACTTCTATATATTTATCTTTTGCAACGACTTTGCTTACCTGCTTCATAATCTCTTCCCTATGCCCCAATTTCTCTAACAGGTGAGATCTTATGCTCGCTCTATTAAATCAAATTATCATTATAGTTTATTTGAAAATGCTTGGTAGCACAGTTTTTATGGCAAAGGTGCATATTTTTATATAATTTTGCTATTATTCATTTTCAAATAAACTATAGGAATAGGAGTAATCTATTAGTTTTTCTAAAAATACCTTGTTACCGATGTAAGTATATCTTTCCCTAGTTAAAAAATTCGAGTTTTTATTTTCATAATATAAATAAATGACCGGTTAACAATCACATTCTTTTAAATAGTACATTTGACATTGAAGTAGGTATTTTCTCCATATTGCCAAACAGGAACAGATGGTTTACTTGTAATTTGAATTATATTACATAAATCTCACTGAATTTCTCTATAATTCTCATAGCAATATGTACACAAAACACTTATCCAATAATATATATATATATATATATATATATATATATATATAACCATGTAAAAATAACATTTCAAGAACGAGAAAATTTATAAAACCGGTCCTGTCTGAACAGATCTAGGAAAATCAAATAGGTTTGTCAAAGTTTTGTTCTTAATTTGAAATTAGAAATTGTGCGTCTCACTCACTTATAACTAATAACAAAGTGCAGATTATCGGTGTTCACGTATTACAGAACACACAAACTAAAAATCAGTGTAGCCAAAACATAAATTTACCTAACATGGCGACAAGCTTGAATGGGGTCATTTTTTTGTATTGACAGCATACGCCAAGCGGTATCTAGACTTTCTGAGGGCTATGGTTTTTCATCACGAATTTAACTGCTAGCTACGTAGTCTAATAGTTTTTATTTATTCTTAGACAGGTTGGCATTTCTGCTAATTTGTTAAATGGTTTTTATAGGATGATTTAAATTTTCCGCTTTATATATCGTGTCTTGTGTTGATCGTCACCGACCATCACATAAAAATTGTTCTATTTTGCTTCCATTTTTCTTTAAGATCCTATTATTTTCTGTTTTTGGGCAATTGGTGATTTAGAAAAAAGAGAAAATATCTAATTACGCGGCATCAGATAGCCCTACTATTGAAATTTGCTTATCTTACAGAATGTAAAAAAAACGGAAAATGCAATATCACGGAAACGAAATGAGAAGGTTGCAGAAAAATTTTATAATAAAATTATTTTCATTAATATCAAAATAATTGGGCCGTTCCCTTCCAATACACGGATTACACGGTCATCTTGGCTCATATTAAATAATTTCTTTGTCATCGTTGCTGTGAATGTATTTAAATAAATCCATTTTTGAGAAATAATAACATTAATAAAAATATTAACCTCTAAATTTGACAAACAACGTCCTACGCAATACGCATGTACAATAAATAGCTGGCGACCACAAGTGTCGGTTAACGGTTACAGTCAAAATAGCTGACGGCTATCGTATAACTGGAGGTCGAAAAACGTTTTGACAGTCAGTGGCTGACGGCTATCTCCGTAGCTGCCAGCTATCCTAAATCAGAGACAACTAGAGACGGGCAACTCAATGTAAATAATTGGTTCGGCAAAATTTGACTGGGCGATTCTATAAAAGGCACCAACCGAGGGCGCTGTGCACGGCGCTCACAGAACCGGAAATTCAGATCGCTTAGATCTTCTTTTTAATTGTACTTCTTCTTTTTAAATGGTCTCTTCTTGCGTTAGTAACCATATTAATCTGATAAACATTGGGATAGGTCATGGATAAGCGGGAATTTTAAATGAAAACAATGTTTCTACTTAAGTTGACAGCATATTATGGAAAATTTATTATTAGTTTTAGGAAAAAAATTATAGGGCTTGTCAGAAATGAATTTTTCTTAAGCCTGAGGGAATTTTACATTACAACAAATTAATATTTACTTTTTTTCCTAACACTAATAAAATAATTTTCCATATGCTGCCAACTTAAGTAGACACTGTAAATATGTATTATTTTTTCGAAGTTTAATTCTTTTATAATTATTTTTTTTTGAAAAGTTTATAAGCAACAAAACGCTAACCATAAATTTATGTAGTGTTTTTTTCTTTTTATGTCATTAAGGAAAATGTTTAATAAATAAAATTGTAGTATACCATCGTTTTTATATTTTTATTCATGATAATAATTAAAAATATCGATATTAAATACCTATATTATAAACAACAGAACTAAACAAACAAAAACCAACCTTAAATTGCAATGACATAAATACATTAAAAAAGACAATAATTGGCAAACATGAAACATGGGATTAATTTAAACAACCATAAAATACCATAGATATATGAATTTAAAAAAAGAAAAGTAATAACTTAATAATAATAAATATTAATTAAAAAATAAAATAATGAAATAAACGAATCGAAAAATAAAACCCACTGAAGAAGGCTGTTCTATCATGGGCCGAAAGCTATATTATAAATTATATATGTAAAAATTTTTTAATTTTTTTTGATTGTGTAATTTTTTTGTGACCTAATTTCCCTCATTTTTCTTTTACACCACCAAGGAATGCCTATTTTCCACACTGCTTTAAAAAAAGATTTCATAAGAAAATGTTTATGAGTGGTACATGTTACCCATTCAAAATCTATTTTTTCTTCAAATAGCTTTTCTATTTCCTTACTTAAATTTAAAATGTTAAGTAGGAGACTCAAGAAAATCTTCCAATAAGCTTATAGCTGTTCCAACCGAAACTACTGGTTGTTCTGCAGGGTAAATGAGTCTTTCTTGGTAACGTTTACAGTTATCTGGCAGTCCATAAATTTCATTGGTAATACAACCGATTTTAATTTCCAGTTTCCAATATAATCTGTTCTAGCAAAGTGTTTACTGCAGATTCTGAAATTTCGCAGATTCAATAAAATTGCTGAAATAATTTAATAATCAACTTACTTATATCTTTGCTCAACAAATCTGTAACATTTCCAGTTGTCTGGCAGTCCATAAATTCCATTGGTAATACATCCGGTTTTAATTTCCAGTTTCCAATATAATCTGTTCTAGCAAAGTGTTTACTGCAGATTCTGAAATTTCGCATTTCTGTTCGAAATATGGAATACCCAGGGCATCAAACCATAATTTGCATCTAAACAATAATATTTTATATTAGATTCTACAAATAAATACCAAGATATTAAAATTTTAAATTTTTATTATTGAAGGATATACCTACTCGAAATCCCCATAACAATAAAAAATATAATTGGAAAGAATACAATACTTTGCAAATGTTATTTTAAAAACAAACACACCAACACTTAAGTCAATCAAGTGGGAAGTATTGAGTAGGTACTTTTTTTATATAAACCAACAATAATACTCATTAGGAATTAATGAAAGATATACCCCTAATATCCAAATTTAATGAATTTGCATTTTTGTTAAGAGAACTAAATAGGTACTTAGGTCATAATAATTAGTTCTGTGAAATGGAATGAATAAATTATTTTCACGAATCTTACTGGTTCTCTAAATTGCATGGATTCTAAAAGTTCAAAACAATGAATAACTCCTTTACTTTATGCAAAAATAATAAATTGAGTGTACCCCTTCGAAATTTTTTAGGCATTTAAGATGCATAGAGTTTAATAAAACATTATAATCAGAGTTGCCATTACTAAACCTAATCTAAGAAATTTGTCTTGAACAGATTCTAATGACTTAACACGTACATCATAAAAAGGAGACCTAACTAGCAACTCAACTCATATTCCAATATTATTGTCATAACATAAGCCGAGTAAACCAGTTTTATTTGAATTAAATGATAGATTGTACTTACTTTGTAGAATTATGTGGAAAGTAATGCATTTTAGACACCTCATCTTCACTGCATCCACAAATTAAACAAAATGCCGGCATTGCTATTTAATCAAAAAAAAGTCTAAACTATTTTAGCTTTAGTAATATAATAAGCTCTTGAAAATGCAAACAAAATACGTTACAAACACTACACACACTACAATATAAAAAGCCACAATATAAAATAAACAAAAAATTTTCCAAAACATAACCTCTAACGAAAAGCTAGGCTAGAAATAACGACTTTTATGACAAGATATATACATGACAGAACGACAGAACATAAAGAGAAGGGGGCTATGGTGGCGACATCTCACCATTGCCTTGAGTGATTTGTAAAAGAGATAGTCATATCCACAAATATTAAGAGAAAGGGAGAAAACGATATACACTGCATGAGCGATCCACAGAACCGATTTTTATATGAAGTTACACGTCTCGTAGTTGTCTCTGCCTAAATAGCCGGAGATTGAAAAACCGGACCTTATGCACGATGCTCTTTCAAACGAACGTCAGAAAAGTGTTGCCAACTTAAGCTGACTACTATTTCCCCCCTAGCCTCAGTCACCCCCTCATCAAATACTGGGTCTATGTCGCGACCCCCTTAGATATACCGACCAGCCCTGAGCGAAATGTCAAAATACACCGTTCATACGTGCCACTCGAGAGCGCTACCAGATCGATCAGGTAGCATGTGGCGCGGATGAACGCAGCCAATGCTGAAGCCGACACGTCAAACTATTGACTAGAGGTCATCTGTCATAATTGTTTTGTTTGTAGTGAAAATTTGTAACTCTGTAGGAATTTTATCTAGTTTTTTAAGTGTTTTACTTCAACAATTCAGCATTACTTCATATCATAAGTGCTAATTATAAACAAAAATGATACAGACGAATGCCAGTAATTTACTTATATTAATAAAAAGTGTAGTTTAGTTCAATATTTTAATATTTAAAACTAGTTTTAAATTCCTAAAACAATGGGAGATACTTCAGTACAAATCCCTTTAAAAACCAAGGAGTTTTATAAAACCCTATTTAATAAGGTACGTATTTTAAAATTAAATTAAAGTTGTGTTTGCTTTAACTATATTTTTATTTTAGTATGATAGAAACCGAGATGGGTTTATTACAATACATGAATTAAGGGACATTATAGAAAGCCGAGAATATGAAGAGGACATCCCCGTACATTGCGTTAAAAAAATATTACATATGCACGATCGTAATTCGGACAGAAAATTGAATTTTGAAGAATTTTATGAAATGATTTCCAACCCAGATTTGCAATATGTCTTTGGACACTACATGAACAGGTGAAACCATTCATTAGCAATTCCTTGTGGTGAAAATTTAAAATTCAAATTTATTGAAAGTAGATTGAGAATGAGCAGTTCAAAACATTTCAATAAAAAAAAAAAAATTTGGTTATTTTATGATTTAAATATTTTTTTTTCTGACCGCCCTTGTATATTTTGAAATTAGGGGCTATATTTACAAAGAGTAAAATCTGTATTCACCACTTAAAATGGTATATTTTTTTTCTTTGCTGAAAACCACTCTCATTTGTTAGGAAACTAACTACTAGAGGTCAGGTAATCCACATTTGTTAACTATAAGTGAAAATCACCAATAAAACATTTTTAATTACATAAGTAAAGGCAAAGATACAATATAACAAGATTAGTGTATCAGAATCAGTAAAAGAAGGTTGCAGTTTCAGAATATATGTGTGTTTAGAATTAAGACTAAAACAATATACATTAGAACTATTAATTTTTTTCAAGGATATTCCCAGTAGCAAATTGGTTGACAAGTAGATATAAATAGACCAGAAAAATGTATATATATATATATTTTTTTTGTTGGGTATATTATAGGATACGAAATGAATTTAAATAATAATGTTTTCATCAGGGTTGAGTGGGGAAATTAGAAACACTTTTTTCTACACCAGACATGGATATTAGCTTATCTAAGCACAGACTACAAAACAAAGAAGTATGCCATTGCGTTCAACTGAACGAATACCTATATGTCATATTTTATCTCAAACTAATTGTAGTATATTTTTTAGTTATTAAGATTGAATATACATACAAATGAGTTATTCTTGTGTATATTCAATAAATAATAGTATTTCTATTTTTATTTCCCCCACATTTATAAATAACTCAAAATGTAATCAAACTAATTTAATTAATTTAATTAATTTAATTAATTTAATTAATTTAATTAATTTAATTAATTTAATTAATAAATAAATTAATTAATTAAATAAAATACCTCTGAGATTTTGACAGAATAGTCTAATTCTTTAATGAGAAATGAGAAACTTAGGCAACTTCTCATACATTTTCCAGTAAATACTGTTGCCTGCCTATATTTTATTATTGATTTTTATTGATTATACATAATTTTCTTTAATTTAAGCGATAAAAATATATAATAATAATAAATTATTGTATTACTTGATTTACAAATATACTTTTTACACATATACTTTTATAAAAACTAACATATATACTTCTTAATTACGAATTCTAATAAAAATTGCATTTGTCAGTATACGCAGAAATAGTCCATTAGTACCAAAACGAATTGGCGCTGCTGTCGCCACGGAGCGAATAGGATGAAAAAGTCTTTAACATTTTAAACTCAAATCAACACCATGTCAAACCACTTCAAACATTCAGTTTTTAAATTGCATCCCATGTTTTCTGTTAATGTCAACCTCGGTTCAGTAATATATCTCATATTGGCGTTTCTTAGGTTTTAATGGTAAAAATTGTAAATTGTAAAAAATTAAACTGACAACATAAACATTAGATAACACCAATGAGGTTAGAAAGGGTAGAGATAACATAGGAACACATACTTTGATTACTATACGGTGCAAGAGAGAGGTCCGACACGCCCAACATAGGGCGCGGCCATTTTGATTCCTATGCCACAGTTTATAGCTAAAGAATCAGATCGCTCACTGTGTGTCGGCACTCTTGATCTCAATGTTCCAGTTTATACACTGCGCAACTCGGATAATACAATATATGAATCCTGCGTATCCTGAATTTGTATCCCTGAAGTGGATGTTATTTTGGAACTTTCAACTGGTCCGAGTGAGCTAACTGATTCTTTAGCAATAAACTGTGACTCCAAAAATAATATTCACTGACACTGACAGCAGCAAGCAAAATATCAGGTGCGTTTTAATCATCCGCTTCTGCTTCCGGAATTGTCGGTTTAGTCGTTTTAACCTGTCAGATTAAAACAAGAAAACCGACAATTCCAAAGCAGAAACGGATGATTAAAACGCACCTATTAAAAATATTGCGCCAAGATGTAGGCAACACGTAATAAGGGATCAAAATGGCGGAGATTTCTATCTCCTTTTAAAAGGCACTCAGAAAGCTGCGCAGTGCGACCATTCTCCGTATAGTAAAAGAAAATCAAAGTATGTGCATAGGAAGCATTTGTCGCTGCGAGAATTTTGCCAAAACCGAAAAACTGTGGAATGAGTAGGGAGATGTTCTGGGCCGAACTTAAATATTTGTATTGTAGTACCTAATTTTGGTAGGTAACTAAAAGATGAAAAATTATGAGACTTTTTTGACTTCATTTGTTAACACGATTCATTTATGATGAGGGCAATAACACTTTATCAATATATAGCTAGTAGCTAAGGGCCGATTCCACGGTTGTGGATTAAAATTAAAATTAAAATGACACTTTTAATGTAAAAACGTCATTTTAATCTTCGTTTTTTGTTAATATAAAAATGTCAAAATTTTACCCCCAACATTTCTGGGCAGTTTTCAATAACGGTGTTCAATTATTTAAAAAATAAAACGTAATTTACAGCTTTTATTTTTTGTTTTCTTTTTTGTTGTTAAACGTAATGGCATATTTTCAAATGTGAAATGTCACTATTTATTGCCTTTTTTCGATTTTTTGGATTTTTTTATTTTTCGATTTTTCGATTTTTTGATTTTTCGATTTTTCGATTTCTCGATTTTTCGACTTAAAAACCAAAAAAGAGGCATTTTTATTTATTTTCATTTCGTAACTGGCGATGACGGGCTGAAGCCTCCCTTTATAAAATGCTGGTTCGCAAGGAAATCTTAATTTTTTTTTACCAAAAAATTACAATAGACAGTTTTTTGAAATATATTCAGTGACAAGATACTTTGACAATAACATCCTTAATTTTACATACATAGTCAGTGTCGGTATCTGAATATTAAGACTAGCATACAGAGCCGGATTCAACAATCAATCCAAACATACCGCCACCCTTGAATGATCTATAATTCAACAAACAAAATAATAGATATCTAATACAAAATATAAACATCTTATCAAGTAATCCTAATAACTAAATAGCATCAACTTCCACTGGTAATAACGATAATTGCGTTAATGCTCTTCGGAATAGTCCATTAGAAGTCTTGACTGTTACTACTCTTATGACACCATCAGTTCCTGGATGAAGACTTACTATTCTACCCATCTGCCACTTCAATGGTGGTAAATCTTCATTTTTCAATATCACCAATTGGCCTAGTTTTACATCTTTTTTTAAAGTTTTCCATTTAGTACGTTGTTGTAAACTAGTTAAATATTCTTGAGACCATCGTCTCCAGAAACTTTGTACCATTTGAGTGATCAACTGATAACGAACTAGTTTAGTCGTTTTAACATCACTTAAATCGATCTGAGGAGGGGCTGACAACGGCTCCCCAATTAGAAAATGTCCAGGAGTCAATATATTCAAATCATCTGGATCTTCTGTCATAGGTACAAGAGGTCTAGAATTCATACATGCCTCAATTTGTGTTATTAGTGTCAGAAGCTCCTCAAAAGTTAGCCGCTGGTTACTTGTTACTCTCTTAATATGGTATTTGGCAATTCTTACGACAGATTCCCACAGGCCTCCAAAGTGGGGTGACCTTGGTGGAATAAAATGCCAACTAATAGCTACTTGAGCAAAATACCGATCAAATTCATTTTTAGTTTTCTTTTCCCTTATAAATTTAACAAGATCTCTTAATTCGTTACGTGCCCCTATAAAATTTGTAGCGTTATCCGAAAATATGTTACTCGGAAGCCCTCGTCTTGCTACAAATCTTTTAAAACAATTTAGGAATGCAGCAGTTGTTAAATCGGTTACGAGTTCTAAATGTACCGCATGCGTAGCAAAACAAACAAAAATACAAAGATAAGTTTTTGTTGTAGTGCATCCCCTAACCTTTTTCACTATCGTATCAAACGGTCCGGCATAATCTAAACCGCAATTATTAAATGGACGAGATGGCGTTAAGCGCTCTTTAGGTAAATCACCCATTAATTGATTTAATTCTTGTGGACGAGCTCTAGAGCAAGTCACACATTTCCTAATAATTCCCCTGATAGTAGTTCTTCCCGACATGATCCAGTATTTCCTACGTAAATAAAGAAGTAAAGCTTGCGTCCCGGCATGCAAGAGTCTTTTATGCTCATAATTGATTAATAATTTTGTCAATTTACTTTTGTTAGATAGTATTGCAGGATGCTTCTGCTCGAATGCCAAATTTGATTTATCTAACCTTCCACCAACTCTCAAAATACCGTCTTTATCTAGAAATGGATTGAAAGGTAACAATTTACTAGATTTGGGAATACTTTTTGAACCTTGTAACAGCCTTATGTCAGTTTCATAATCCTCCCATTGTGAAATTTTTACTAAATTATTCATAGCTTCTCCCAATTCTGCAATTGTCAAATTATTTGTTTGTCTTAAATCCCTTGCCGTTCGACAATTATTAATAAAACGCAAGCAATAACCTAAAACCCGTTGTAATTTATAAAGATCAGATATTCTATCTAGAATTTCAAAATTCACCGTTTCTGAGAGAAATATTTTTCTAACTTTTCTCCTCTCCGGTATTTCTCTATTTTCCAGATTTTTCTGTGCCGGCCAATCCCTTTCATCTTTAACAAGCCAGCTAGGTCCGTGCCACCAGAGTTCCGAATCTTTTAATTTCAGAGCATCCATACCCCTTGATATTATATCTGCGGGGTTATCTGATGATTCCACGTGCTTCCAAGAATATAGCTCAGTAAGCCTTTGAATCTCAGATGTCCGATTGGCGACAAAAGTTACCCAGTCTGTAGGTTCTCCCGCCACCCATGACAAAACAATAGACGAATCACACCAAAATTGAATTTTTGTAAACCTTATGTTAATAGTCTCAATCACAACGTTAGCCAATTTTGCCGAGAGAAGGGCACCACACAATTCTAATTTCGGTAATGAAATGCTTTTTAATGGCGCAAC